ACACCTTTTCTGAGTCGGTACAGAATGATCATGAAAAAATTCAGATTATTTGTATCATCTTTCCTACAATCGGGCTTGCTTTTTATGAAATTAATCTCACATGGGGAGCAAACAGTATCATGATGACTCCCCTTGATAGAGGGTAGTCTTGTTGGTTGTAGGTATCAATGGGGGACCGGTGTTTGTCATTAGCGCTCATGCATTAACTGATACAGAAAAGATCATCTAAGTACAAGAATCTTCGCAAGCTTTGGGAAGATGAAAGTGTTTGTCAAAGTCGATCAACTTGAGTAAGAAAATTCAATTGGAGGTGGGGATCATGTGATCTTTAACCCTACCAATCTTCAATATATAAAGCAAAGATGATTCGGCTTGATCCATGATACGTTTTCCAATTGCTACATCACGCTCCTCACAAGATGTCTAGTTATATCCATCCATTCCATACTCGCGTTTTTCTACCAAAGTATTTCTTCGACTTTATGTTTCGTGAGGGTGATATCAATTCCAAGCCTGATCCCCAACTTTTCCTAAGTGAAGCTTCAACCTTTCAAGTATTAGAAATAACCCGTTTGCTCTGCCCTTATATCAGATTCAGCGCGGAGGCAGAAGACGATAAATCATTTGTACACAAGCTATTTCTCCAGATGATAGCGCCTCATCTTTCTACTTTAATCATCCCAAAAGGCCTTGGACCCGATCAACACTACCTTCAAGCATTGATTGATGTTCCAGTTGTTGGATCACCAGACTGCGAGATCTTTATGTCCCCTGCAACCATTATCAACTCTGATCGCATTCGCCGGTTCAATTGCTTGATTCTCTGCTACCTTAAGAATGGCCAACATCGTCTTGCAGCAGACAACCTTACCGACTTTGTCAAGGTTCACAAGTATCTCAACGACAGTGAAATCTCGACCATTGCTTCTATTTATGAAGAAGCTCTAGATGGCCTTCACGAATCTGTTGGCGCCATTCAAAACTCACATTGCGAGATCGAGGGGATTGGTTTTCAATCATCTGACTCTGAGATCTCACAGACCCACCGACAAGAACTTCAACTTTCTCTTGAAGCTGCAACCGCGAGACTGCAATCTCGTCAGAAGGCCTTCGATTCCATTGTTCAGGGTGTGGGATTCCTTCAAGCATTGTCGAAGTATCACGAGTAAGTCACAAACTTTGATATTACTATTCCGAATAAGTATGAGTTCTGTAAGTATTCTAACTTGTGATCTTCAACCCAGAAACTTGGCGTTAAAAAATAAACCCTCCCCTCCTGAATCGTCTTGAACGATTCCTTTCAAATATTCTGCGGTGTTGTGCACATCATTCTGGTAAGAGATGGATACTGTCAAGGTGCTTATCATAACATGAACTGATCAAATCCTTTTGTTCAAAATTCATTCCAAGTTGCAGGTATAATCTTCATACCACAACGTTTGAATCCATGACTACATATCGAAATCTGACCAGTTACCGTTGTATCAACTACCTTCTCTAGTATGTAGAGTTGTTAGATCCAAATTTTTCTTGAACTGTGTGTTACGCGAAGAAACTAAGAGAACTAGCAGTTTACTCAAGGACCGGTATTGAAGATTAAACTAGTAGTATATATTTTATCATGAGTTCACTTTACAAGTAGTTTTGCAAACCTCTATTATTCAAGATCACAAATCAATTATTGTTCAAGACAAAGCTTTGTACCTGAAATATGTCCTGAAGGTTGCTATGACTTGTGGACCTTTATTCTATATATCTCCGTTGTATCTTGATCTTATACTCTTTTTCTTCATCGGAATTATTATTATCCTTCTCTTTTCTACACCGCTGTGGCAGAAAAACAACGTTGTAGCCTTGTAGAGCTCTGCTCTGAGTTCTCATCTTACAGGTTCTCCGTTCTGAGAACTGTAGCAAACTTGTTTGTTTTGACTACAACCCAGATCATCACAGAATATAAGTAAAATACACGCCCGATGTCATAAAGCTTGAGTGATCTTTCACGGGTGTGATTGTAGTGTCACCTCACGGGGTCGTGAATGCAGGTTTTTACTGAGCCTCACAACACTCAAAGCAGTCTCTGACACAAGTATACACGTGGAAGTGTACTGTTGTAGTTTGCTAAATTTGGATAATTCACTACATTCAGGAAACCAGAATATGTAGATGATACATAGTTTTCACCTGTGGCGCCTTAAGCCTTCGGTACCTACCCGAAGTTAAATGTGCGACTACCTACAGATAGCTTCCGAAACGCATCATGGCAGATACGCCAGATAAGCCAGACAGATCCTGGTTGTACATTTTGTCTCAAGGTAGAAATTTTTTTGAATTTGCACCATCAAGAAACACATTTTTGTGCATTTGAAACTACATTAGGCCTATGAGAAATTTAAAAAAAAACCCTTCCAAGACTTGAAATTTTCGAAAAAAAAAGCCAGACCTGTCTGACACACTTTGAGTGCGTCAGACAAGTCTGGTGGTCTTCCACAACAACACAAAAGTCCAGACATGTCTTGCATCCAGATCCGTCTGGGACATGTCTATACAGCCAGACACGTCTGGATGTGAGACATGCCACAGACTGTTCTGGATGTAATATATGCCCCAGACAGATCTGGATATAAGACACGCCCCAGACGGATCTGGATGTAAGACATGTCTGATGATGTTGGACAAATACCCACCACTGACCAGACATACACCAGATAGATCTGGTGGTGTTGACAGATTGCACTTTCACCAAAGGTACATATGTATAATTAAAAACATCCGGCTGATGGCCTTCATCTTCCTCAAAATAACAACAGCTGAACATCTCATAATCAAAAACAACAACAAAACAACAATGTATCAAACTCAACAATCGATCACATTCATTACTTGAAAAAATCAATCATAGGCAAAGCTAAGTACTCA